ATTGGTTTTTTAACCTGAGTATTTTTTTGATTATTCATTATTTGATCAATGATTTGTGATCTTAATTCGGAATCATCTATATTTTTTAAAATAGATAAAATATCTTTATCTAAAACGTTTATTTGTAAATTATCCTGAAACTGTGATTGAATATTATATATTTCATCATCACATGAACAATTATTTTTATTTATACAAAAACAATTATTTTCTTCTTCATTAGAACTACTTGAAGATGTATAAATTTCTTCATCCGAATATTATTTATTTCATCATCAGATGAGGATTCTTCCGAATTGTTTAAAAGAATTTCTTTTAATTTCTCTTTCATATTATCGTCTAGATTTAAATTATTAATCTTTTTCTTTATTTTACATTTATTGGAAAAATGACCAATTCGACCGCATTTATAACAAGTTGGTGGATTATCTTTTTTTTTTATTATGTTTTTCTTTTCTAAAAGATTTCCTTTTAAATCTATACTGTTTTTGATTTTCACTATATTTTTTATATTTTTTTGGGATATATTCCCTTTTAGATTTTTTTTCTATTTTTTGAAGTATCAATACCAAATTGTTCACAGAAATGACCTAATTGTTGTCTTTCAGTGAGTCGTTGTCTTTTAATCTGTTGATTCAATTTTATTTTGTTGCATAAAGCTAAGCCTTCTTGAGTGCATATTCCTATAAGCTTTCCATATGAATAACTTTCATAAGGAATTTGAGGGTGATTTCATTGTAATTGTTTCCTAACTCTTTCCGCAACGAGTGTTGGAAGATTATCAATAAATTTTTGTTTCCAATAATTAGAATTACAATCATCTAATTCTAATACTCTACTCATGAAAGTATCTTTATACCATCTAAATGAGGTTAAAGTTTTACATTTCATTCCATTTAGTAAGGTTCTAGTATTACCAGAATTATTCGACCATTTGCCAGAAAAATGTTCAATTATACTTAAAAGAAGTGTATAAACTACATCTTGGACTATTGTTGAAGTACCATCTTCATTTTTAATTATTTTAGTAGAATTGTAAATCTGAATTTTATCCGACTCATCTAGATAATTATCCCACCAACCTTTTAATTGGCCAGTAAAACCTGCTATTATCATTTGAGCAACTGTTAAATCAATATTTCCTAATTGTTTTGCACTAGTAGCATACAAATTCATTCTTTGAGTTAACAAATATATTTGTCTTTCTGTAAAACCATCTAAATTCCATTCATAGACGTTTT